ATAATCATTTGATGGTTTTAATTCTATTTCAATTTCTTTTACTTTAATTAATTTTGTAAATGAAAAGTCAAACTACAAGGAAAAAAAGCAGTTTAATGTAAAAGAACACAAAACAAACATATTTAGGGTAGTCGAAGAGTTTTGGCAAAGCTCGACGCAAATTTTATGTTGATTATTTTCTTTGTTGGTATGAGGTTTTTCTGACAATACAGTGTCCATTGCTGTCTTAAATCATTTTGTAGAATAACTAGCTCACATTTAAGTTGGATGCGGACGGTGCATATCTCTGACAAGAGAGCCTTTAGAATACAATCCTCACAGCAACAATTCAATAGACGCTGTTATTCAAGAAAATATTGACTCTGCGAAAGATCTGGTGAATGAAGACACACATATTAGTATTAATGTGATAGCCAACATCTTGGATATATCTCACAATAGGTACTTCATGAACTGACATAGGAACAAAGACAATGGCACGTAAACATATGTACCGAGAATTCAGAAAAGTTCGAAAGTAGTTCATGGCGACTATTTAATATGATCACTGGCGAGAGAATCTTAGATATTTTATTGAAAGATTGAATCGAAACAACGAACAAAAACGTGGATAGCAGGAGGGAAATGTCCTCCGAACATTGTCAGAAGACAAATAGATGAAAAGAACACAATGTTTGTCATTATGTCTATGACTACTGAATCGATGCTTATTCAACAAATATTTTCTGGAGTATCTGTTGATGGTATCTATTATCACGATGAGTATTTAAAGGGGTTACTCAAAAAGTTATCGAAAAAGAAAACAACCATCATTAGGAACAAACCTCATCATAAGAATGCCCGAATCCATGTGAAAAATATTGTGATCAATTATCTTTAAGAAAATAGATTAAAGCTTATGACTCATTCTTTATACTTGTCTGACCTTGCTTCTTCAGACTTTTGGTTTGTTCAGCTATCTTAAAGATAGATTTGATACCTATTTGGATGAAACAAGTTGGATTAAGGCAACGATCAAGAAACTCGGTACGATTCCTGCTAATCTCTTTTCTATGAATAAACTTGTAGACATGACAGAACTATTGTTCTTTTGTTTTCTTTTTTACCTGATCTTTTGAATTTCCATTGCGTTTAATATAACGTAAAAAATCTTTTCGTATTGTATGTTCAATTAAAATTAAATCAAGTAAACCGTCAGCTAGATGACCAAACTTAGATAAACCTTGTGGTGCAAATGACCATAAATTTGCATTAGTTAATACTGCAACTTGTAAACAATTATGATGAAGAATCTTCCAATGTTGTTTTTCATCATTTTGTCGATCAGAAAATTTTTTCGACAATGATGATGATGATCCACGATTATTATTACCATTATTTGATACGAGTGGTGTTTTACGTTTGTTTATTTTTTGTATATGATCAGTATCAAAAATTTTGACTTGATCATCATTCTGTTCCAAAGGCGCTGGAGTACATGAAGGACAACTGAATACGAAACATTATTGTTTTCAAAAAAATCATCGCTAGTCAAGTTCATTTACCCTCGATAACAACGAGTCATAGTTATACTATTTTGATCTGCAGGAATATAACGAATTTCCATTTGGATAGGTCTATTCAATACAAAAAATAAAAATCATACTTAAATAGTATGGGAATAAAATATATGTGTATCGAGAATGTTCAAATTTTAGACTAATAAGATACAATATTGGAAAAAAGTTCAATTACAAAATTGATAACAATAAAATCTTCAGAAAATATGAAGTCATAAAGCCTCACTGATCATTTATTTGAGACAATCAAAGTAGACAAGATCGGTAATAAGAACAATAATTTCAGTTGTTCTAGTCAGATAATAATAAATAGAATGCTTTTATCTTTATACCACCCCAAAGGCAAAAAACGTTTTAATCCCATTCCAGCAACAAGAAAATTTTTTCCAAACGCTGACAACTTAAGGCGTAAGTAACCAGGAATACTAAGAATCACTACTTATTTACTAAAAATTAGTTCAGAAATACGACTAATCACAATATTTTTCTTTATTTTTTAATAACTACATGAAAGAATTGGAGATGAATGGATGTTGGCTTCTTCTTAATCCACACCGGCACCCACATCCTTATTCGTTTTGATCATCACCTATAAAGCCCTAGTAATGATTCACTTTTACAGTGTCCTATTACTTTCTAAAACAACAATGAACACTCATTGTGTGCCTAATTAATTGAGTCTTAACTTGTCGGCCGAACGCTTAATTATTCGATTGAGACTTGTCAAAGAAAGAAAAATAGCTTGCCGATAAAATGAGAAAACAATATTTGTTGGCATAGCAGGAAAAGTTTCTGTCAAAGAAACGGAATGATGCCCGGAGAAACTACGTTCTAACTTCTCTTTTATTATGGGTTAGTAAACGAATATGGGTGTGTAAGTTTGGTTGTGCGTAGAGATGTGTATGGAAATGAAGAGAGGACTAACACGCACACCCATACCCTTTTCTTGTGCTTAAATTTCTCAGCTCATCGTTCCGGTTCTCTTTGATCACAAATTCTAATTTTATCTAATTTTCCATTAAAATCTTTCTAATATTGAAGTAGATTATTCTATTCGTATATTTATATACAATAAGAAAATATACCTGAGATTTTTATTCGAAGCTGCTTTAGCAAATGATTTTCGAATAGTTTTTTTTGGACTAAAAACCGAATAACGTGTAAAATATTTAAGAGCATTAGCTGAATAACCAGCTCCAGCACTAAAATTTGCTGTAACAAAATTATAACTAGCATCAAATATTGCTGACATATCAATTTTCATTCGATGATCTAAAATTTTATTAATGAAATTTCATAGAAACATATCTATAATATTTGTTTTACTAAACAATAAATGAAGAATCGGTGTATAATGATCTATACAACCATGAATTGAATGGCATATGATATTTGTTGTTCCTTAAAAAAAAGTAATCAAAATAATAATAAAACAATCACACTTAAAAATTTACCATTCGGTACAATACATATAGGAAATGGTAAAGATGGTAAGTCATATTCCGTATCTAATCTATAATATAAAGCAGATAAAATACCGTATAAAATTATTTCTCACATACCTTGTTCGATTTTCTTTTGCTAAATAACGAAGTAATGCATTAATAACATTAACTACCGAACCATCACCACCAATAATAACTAAGCTAATAGATAAAAATCCGAATTCATTCATGAACAAAAACAAAACTTGAAGATTTCTTTCATACCCATATAACAAATTAAAATCACCTTCGAAATTACTTAATATCTCATCGGCAGAACATAGATCATCGATTTCTAAAACAAACAAAAAGAAAAAAGAATTTGAACAAGGATTTTTCAATAATGACCTTTCTTTCTTGTGTCAACTTACCGAAATAAGTAACATTATAATATGCTCTTTCGAACATAGGTTTAATTTTTGTATTATAAACATATCGACTGTGGTTTGAACCAGCATATGGATTACAAAGAACAAGTACATTACGTGATGGTCTATCTGTAAGAATTTATGTAATGAAAAGAGAAAACACAATCTTTTTTCAAAACATTTTCATACATTCAGAAATCATTTTTGAAAGTAATCGATACCATTGTTCCATTTGACTAGGTAAATTACTTTGAAAAATAATCAGAACTTCTTGTAAAATATTATCATGCATTGTGTCATATGTATGCAATTGAAATCCACGTAATGATAGATTTAATGTTGATGATAATGATGTAGTTGATATAGTCCTATTTGATTGATTTTCATTAGTATTTAATAGCAAACTCGATTGATAATATATTGGTGATATAGCATAGACATCATGTAAATTAATTGAATTCACATTTTCTCTATTGGAAACTTTTCTTTGATGAGTTTCTTCATAATAAGCTAGAAAATAAACTTTGTTCTTTTTTCTTGTATAGAAAAACAAAAAAAAAGAACTTTCAAATTTTACTTTCATCTGATAGATTCGACCAACTTAATATATCATTATTTAAAATCACTTCAACTGTTGTATCATTTACTGTAAAAAATGCTCTTTCATAATATCGATCCAAGTCAATATTGCTACGTGATGATGATTCATATTTATCAAGTATGTCTTGCGTACTCGATTTATTGTCGTTCTCATTTTCTTCAAATGCTTGTTTCACGGTAACTATGAAATATGATCTCGTAGACAATTTAGATATTATATAATTTCAAACAAACTTGAAGGTTTTGTTTGACGTCGTTGTGCTCTAGAAGACATTGATTTCACTAAGTTCTATAAAAGAAAAAACAACAATAACGATGTACATCTGCCAGATGCACTTCTTTTCCTATCTTCAAAACATTATTTTCATAGAAAGATATGATTTTACTGCTATATATCTTATTAGTAAGAACAATGAAATGCAGAAATTAATACCTGACCTAATTAAATATGAAAAAAAAAATCTATGCAGACAGAACACACAAACACGTGTTAGTCCTCTATGTTCATTAGAATAATATACAAATTGAATTAAAAGAAAAACTCAAAGAAAAGACAAAACTCATCATTGAAAATAACAATACATTACTAATTACCTGTTGGTTCTTTGGTATGCTAATGTATTTGTGTTAATCGATGAGTACCATCAAAGCAATCGATGCGTTTTAAAGATATAAAAAGAAGCTTGCAAATGAGAAGTTATTATTCTTTCTGTGTTGTCGAACAGAACAGGTTGATATGTAATGTTTTTTTCTTGAAAGAACGAAAGGGAGAAAAAAAATAGAAGAAACAAAAAGTCTTTAAAATGTCGATGTATTGCTGATAATTGTCACTTATTACAAGGTCATTTTGTAACAATTTGTATAGTTTATGTTTTTCTCGCTCAATATTTTTAATAGGACAAATCGGATTGTTTCGTTTCTTTATCTTCTTTTATTCAGATGTTTTTATTATAAATTTCTTTCAATCACGCGATGGACTATTATGAAAATCATTGAGCAACACACATATGATTTTTATCACAAACAGCTATTGGTTTTTTAGCTAAGATACAGATTGATATTATGGAATTTTCTTCATTATATTGACGTTCAAGTATAGTTGTTAGTTTAGCCAATGAAAGAATGTATTCAACGTAGGAACTTATTCTTGAATAAACAATATAACCATTTGGACCACCACACGCACGAGCACCGATTGGTTCTGTTAAGCAATCAGATGATGTTGTACATTGATTTTCAAGTTGATTAATTGTTGTTAATGCTGTATTAATTGAATTTAATTGTTCATTTGTAATTTTTCCATTAACAATTAGTATACCTAAACATCGAATGAATTTAAAAAAAAATTTTTTTTGTCAGAAAATTATTTACAGAAACTTACTGAGAAAGAAAAGGCCAATAGTAATTGTTTTTATCATGATATTTTTCTGTTTAACAATAAATTATTTTAACAGAAACAGTATTTAAAAGCAAACGTGTTATTTTATATCAAATAAATCACATATATCATAAACATGATTGATTACAATGAGAAAAAAAGACAGATGACATGATTTGATTAAATATTTGGACTTGTAATAATAATAGTAAAGATATTTTGCTAGCATTTCATTCAATTTATTTGAAAATAAATATTAATATGAATTACACGAACATTTATTAGTTAGAATGCAGACAGATCGATTACTATATATTGTATCGATGAAAACAAAAAAAAAACTGAAATAAACTTCATTTGGTTGAATATTCTTTTATTGAAAAATAAACAAATGGATGATATTGCTCATAATATTTCAGCGTAAACTTATCGTATCTATTTTAAGTGATACCATTACACAAGAAAATTCATTACTATTCTAAATTTTATATCAATTTTGTTACAAGTAAACATGTGCAAGGTTACGCTACCCTGCAGAGTAAGGTAGGGCAAGAGTTGGAAAACTTTTCTTACGAGGAAACATTTTCAACTAACCAATGGCTGTTGAACTCAGACTCGGTGTATAAGATAGAGTCTAGTGAGATATGAAAAACCTCAAAAGAATAACTCCCCTCAGCATTTCTGTCCAGAGTTATACGCATTGTATTAGAATTTCAGCCTGTGACATTGTAAATGCCACTCAGAGACCAAAATCTAATAGAATTCAGATTTTTTTAAAGGAATCGAATCGAATGGAAGCCTCTTTATTCGACTAAGCATCAATTCCTCCATCTAGTCTCAAACATGAGCAATAAACGTCAGTTCATGGTAAGCTGATATTCTCTGTATTTTGCGCTGTTGCAAACAGTATTAATCTCTTTCTGTAAGAAGCCTCCTGGGTCAACTTTTTATTTAACAAAAAAAACAGCTTTTATTGATTAATTTTTAGAATAGATATTTTTAGAGGAATTAAATCCATATGTAGGGTGTGGGTGTGGATGTGGGTGGGTGTGGTATGTGGATGTGGCTGTGGGTGTCGGTTTGGGTGTCGGTTTAGGTGTCGGTGTGGGTGTGGAGTGTGGGTGGCTGTGGGTGTGGGTGTGAGTGAGTCTTCTCTTGAACCACACACACACCGACCCACACCCCACACCCGCACCCCACACCTACCCACACTCACACACACTCATTTGAAACAAACGGAGTCCCAAGCTGATAATATCACTCTGTGTCCTTGCAATTCGATAATCGATGCCTTTAATTTACCTGCTTTGCTCATTCTGCCCATAATAACACGAATAGTCAATCATGTGCAAATGAAATAATCATAAAAAGTAAAATAAAGTGCTGGCAGAATAAGAAATAAAATAAATGTGTCTATGAAGCGTAATGTCTGTTTAATACGAAAGTAGAGCTGTTTTTTGTATTCACATATCGTATATTATAACAAACAGAATCAAGAGAGACTTGTTGATCAGTGAAACACAAAGTATACAATAAAGAGGTACGAGACAATTTCTTTTAATTTAAAACAAAGCAAAATTCAAGTTATTTTTTAACGATTTCCACGAACTAAATAAAAAAGATAAATTATTCGAAAAAAAAAATTTTATATGAATAACTAATATTTTTGAAATATTTATAAACATGATAGTATACATTTTTTATTTTTATGTAGTGTAAAATTATAGTAGTGAATAATAAGGGCATAGCTTATACATTTTTTTTAGGGAAGAAATGTGGATAGAATAAACTTGTTGATTGTGATTTTGATCATATATTTAAATCTAGTTTCAATGTTGATGTGTACTTCAACATTTAATTTAGCATTATTTTTCTCTTTTCATTTTATTAATGTGTTTATCTTAGAAAACTTACCAATAATATTTCCTCTTAAACTATGAATTTATTGGATAGTTTTTGTTTTGATTTAGAAAATAATTTATTTTTCAACTCAACTCACTTCTATGATATCAAAAGTAGTTTTAGTTATTTGAATTGATTGATCCTAATAAAAAAACACAAATTGTAAAAAAAAAGGAATTACAGACGTAGCATGAGACAAAAAAGAAATCGACAGCCTAAGATTCATTAGTTGTACATTTATTCCAGACTAGTATAAATCTTTTACATAAGTCAGTTAAAAAGTTCTCGAAATTTCAAATATTTATTCATAAAAAAAAAGATTTATATTTAATTGAGCGATGAAATAATTGAAATGAGCAATAATTAGATTCAACAATAATTATATTGAATGAGCAATAATTATATTGAATCAGCAATAACTATACTGAATGAGCAATAGTTTATTTAAATTAAAGATAAATTTCACATAAAAAGGGCAATACGAATTCATTTATGTAAATTGTATGGTTTATACTGTTATGTGTTTACGTGAGCTTGATTGATTTCGTACCCTTGAAACATGGTATATGAGAAAAAATGTAGAAAAACAAATGAGATTGAGAAGACAATAGAATTTAAAGCTGTTCTCCCATAGACGAGAACATTGATATATATTACATAAATATCAAATGTTGGAAAAATCCCTTATATAGTGTAAGATAATCATAAGAAAATTTTCAAGATGTTCAATAGGACAATTCTAATACAGTGGATGAGAAAATTCTTACGTTAAGAATTTATTTATACAAATCGTATTTTTTCAATCTTATAAAATAAAATATATAATTTATAGAAATGGCTCAATCACAACGCGTAACGCAGTATATTTCTGACAGTGAAAGTGACAATGATATGAAGCTAGTCTCTTGATAACAGGGTGAGGGTGCAAACCCTCACCAGAGGCAAAAGATGTGGATATTAATACTAAAAGAAAAGAGGAAGACCAGCTGAAGCAAAAAAAGCTTTATTGACACAATAATGTATTCATTTTTCATTTTTCATTTTTTTTTATTGTCAATTGTAAATAAAAATATCCTACTTTTCCTTTTTCTTGTTGCTAAAATATGAAATTACTACTGTTATTTAATCAATTAATTATTGCACATTTAATATTATAAAATTGCTCAAAGATAGTTTTCTTATTGCTCAAAAATTATTCCCTCGACTGAAGGGAGGGTCATACGAATTAAAATAGTTTGTGGGTTTGTTTGTTTGTACGGAGTCAAAAAAGGATTCTGTAAGATCAAAAAAATATCAAATTACAAACTTATACTTTCAGCATGACGAATAAGCGAATCATAGATTTTCGAGGGTGGGCTATCTACCAGTCATACTTTTTTAGCTTTGAAGAATCAGCAAATCAGAGGGTTTAGAGGGTGGGCTGTCCACCAATTATATACATATGTATTTTTGCTTCATTTTCTAACATATCAGGGATGGTTAATGAGAAGTTGGATGACGGCAGGTCTCCAAACGTATGAATAGGTACTCATAGTTTAATGGGCTCTGGGGGGGGGGGGGGGGGGGGG